AAGAAAGCAAACCACTTATCCAAGTGTCTCTCACAAACTAAACACGACCGATGAACGATGAACGATGAATGTTGACTTCTGCAACCAGGGCGTGGCACCATCAGTCCTTTTATCTCCAGAAGACCACACTAACGAGCCCCAGCTGCATTGTTAATCTTGCATCCCGACTCAACTCACAGCAACCTTCTGCTGAGTCACAACAACATACTATACATACTATCCTATGGCATACATTATTATGCTATGCTATGCTATGCTATGCTATGCTATGCTATTCAGATGCTTGGCAACTAACTCATATTTAAGACAATTGCTGTGTCCCGGGATCATGTGATCACTTTTTGTGACTTCCTGACAAGCAAAGTCAACGAAGAAGCCAGATTCACTTAAAAAGTTAGTAACTTAACAACTGCAGTGATTTACTTAATAATTGAGACAAGAAAGTTCATAAAATGGGGCAAAACTCACATGTCTCACTTAGCAATGAAAGTTGTGGGTTCAATTGTTGTCCTAAGTCAAAGACTACCTGTACTTAATCTACAGTTACGTATGAACATACAGCTGCTACCTGACAAAGATCTTTCATCCACTGAGAAATCTACTCTTCAGCCCATGAAATGTTGACAGTCTATCAAATTGCTCCATGTTTACGGAAAGGCTTGTTGCTGAAGAGTTCATTGCTGTTTTAAAGTTGAATTAAGGATCTTAACAACCTTTAATGTGTGACTGCAATTACCCAGAGGAATTTACAAAATGAACTTAAATGTTGTCTCTCGACAGGAAGGCTTATTAAAACCCAATCTGAAGTCATTTACATTTGCCAATTTAGAACTTCTGAAAGCTGAAGTCTCTAAAGATGAAGGAAGGAAGAAGAAAGCGAAATACATTTTAAAAATAAATCTGTCTTTTGAAAAGCGATTTGTGAGCATCTGAAGGGTACATTATTCTTGGAGATTGGAAAAGACTACCTTTATTGAAATCAGAAGAAGGATCTCGGCTATTTGTACCTGTGTGCATCCTATGAAACTTTATGATCATAGTTAGTCAAGAACCATTGAGTTCCTATTGACTGTTCATGATTATGTGCTCAAATGCTCTACTTAGGGATAAATCACCGTACCTCCAAGGACATTCCATCAACCTCTTTGATCCATCCACCTTATTTGTGGTCTTCTCGCAAATTTTGCCATATATAATTCATCACTTTTTAGCTTCAGATTTTCAAAGCATATGAGTTTCTGCTTCCTGGTTATCTTTCGAAAGGAGCAGCCATCTATATTTGGTCCAAGGATGATTAATTAGTTCTTCTTACAGTCCATGACACTTTTACTATCCAGATCCAGGTCCATAATTCAGAATGTCTTCTCCCACCCCCCACCCCTTTTTTTTTGATGTCTACCTTTCATGTTGTACATTATATCAGGAAGGCCGTTGCGTTAATTACCTTGAACTTTGATGTTATTGAAATGTCCTTATCTTTCACAAACGTTACTTGTTATTGCCTTCCTTCGCAGGCAAAACTTCCCTTGAACCCCCCAAAGAAAGAACTGTAAATTTAGTAAGCATGTATACTGATATTACTTTTGTTATCTTAACAAAATTAATCCAGATTGTAAACTTTGGGTTTCTTAACACTCTTAATGAGCTGGCCTACATCATTATAGGGTGTTACTCGCATATCTCCACAGTATTTGTGCTTTGACCTATTTTAATTCATCTCTTTTAATTCTGAGTTTAGAATATGCCATCTGTCTTAAAGAGATCTGAGGACGCTACTCATTATGCTTTGTAGGTAGTCCTTGACCTACAACCACAATTGAGCCAATTTCTGTTGTTAAACGAGAATTTTGTTAAGTGAATTTTCCCCCATTTTACAAACTTCCTTGCCACAGTGAATCACTGCAGTTCGTAAGTTGGTAACACAACTATCAAGGGAACCCCATTGTTTTTGCTCGTCAAAAGGTTGCAAAAAGGTGATCACATGGGAATCACTTGGGAAACAGCAACAGTCATAAGTATGAACCAGTTGCCAAGCATCTGAATTTTGATCGCGTGATCACGGAGATGCTAAACAAGTTGTAAATGTGAAAAAATGGTCATAAGTCACTTTTTTCCATATACAATAGCAGAGTTGGAAGGGACATTGGAGGTCTTCTAGTCCAACCCCCTGCCTAGGCAGGAAACCCTATATTTATAGGATTAGGTTGGATAGCCATTTCAGATAAATGGCTATCCAACATCTTCTTAAAGACTTCCAGTGTTGGGGCATTCACAATTTCTGGAGGCAACTGTTTGTTTTGTCAGGGACCTTGGAGGTCTTCTATTCCAACCCCTGCTTAGGCAGGAAACCCTATACCGTTTCAGACAAATGGCTACCCAACATCTTCTTAAAGACTTCCCGTGTTGGAGCATTCACAACTTCTGGAGGCAAACTGTTCCACTGANGTTAGACTTATATACTGCTTCATAGGGCTTTCAGCCCTCTCTAAGCGGTTTACAGAGTCAGCATATTGCCCCCAACAATCCGGGTGATTTTACCCACCTCGGAAGGATGGAAGGCTGAGTCAACCCTGAGCCGGTGAGATTGAACAACCGAACTGCCGAACTAGCAGTCAGCTGAAGTAGCCTGCAGTACTGCACTCTAACCACTGCGCCACCTCGCCCATCGCCACCGCCATGATTGGGGGATCTCCACCACTTAAAAAGTGACAGTCACACATCACTTTCAGGCCAAATGATAACCTTAACCTCCACTGATGCTCATGTTTGCTTTAAAACCTCCAACTTGGCAAAAAAGCACAAGGATTGAGGAATCAACATCGGAATAGAGTGGGAAGGGAATTTGGGAGTTTTTCTAGTCCAGCTCAAGCAGGAGATCCTATATCATTGCCGACAAGTGGCTATCCACTTCTTAAAAACCTCCAGTGATGAAGCATCCACAATGTCTGAAGACAAGCTGTTCCACTAGTTAATTGTCCTCACTGCAAGGAAGATTCTTGTTAATTCCAGATTGCTTCTCTCCTTGATTAGTTCACATGCATTGTTTCTTGTCCTGCCCCCTAGTGCTCCGGAAAATAAATTGACTTTCTCCTATTTGTGGCAACCTCTCAAGTACTGTAATGCTGCTTTATGTGACTCCTAATCAGTGGTGAGGCTGAAATAATTTAACAACCGGTTCTTCTTAATGATTGGCTGGGGTGGTGGTGGCTGGGGGGGGGGAGAGCTGAGCCCCCCCCTCCTTGGAACAGAGGGGGGCGGCTGAGGGTCCCTAAAGGGCGAGGGTGGTCATGTGACTGAGGGGGCACTGCTGACTGTACATCACTCACGTGGGTGGAGCCCAGTAGTGGATTCCGGATTCTGTTCCAACCAGTATCGTTGGAAGAGCCTTGGCATCACCTACATGCACGCGCAAAGTGCGTGCATGCATCATACTTACCTGCGACGCTTCCTCAAGCCTCCGCGACGCTCCAGCTGCTCGGTGGAGTGTCGCACAGGCGACATACACGCAATACACGTGTGCAGAAGCGCCAAATGCTTAAAGTACATGTAAGGAGTGAGGGCGGGTGGGTGGGCCCTCCGGAGCACCCTACCGGAACGGTATCCGGTGTTTGGGGCAGGCTCTGGTACACCTGTACCGGGGCGTACCTCCTGCAACCCACCACTGGTGGAGCCAGGCAGGATTGGGGAGGGAAGCCAGGGATGAGGGGGCAGAGGAAATAAAGATTAAACCTGTGTGTGTGAGAGAGAGAGAGGGAGGGAGGGAGAGAGAGAGAGAGAGAGAGAGATAAGAAGAAAAACAAGGAAATTCAAGGAAATTAAACACTTTAAATCTTGGCTAATTGTGAAGAGATATAACTAACTGGGGAGGTTTTAATAGCTTTTTAAATTGTTATAAAATAGAGCTTCAGGTATATGAAGAATTATTTTTGTTGCTAAAAATGTGCGTGAATCTTTAATAGCCAATAAAGAGACAGGAAGTTTATTCAAACACATGGGGGGGGGGAATAGAAGGAACTGAAGGTAGAAATTTAAAGGAAATGCAAGAAGTTAAAAATATAGAGAAAGAATTAAAAAACGGGAATCAATTCCAACATTACAGAAATTCATGGTAATGTAGAAAGAGTAGAGAGAAAGGGGGAAAACCCTCCCTCCCAAAAGAAACAATTAAAAAGGCAAAAAGGGAAATACTTTGAAAAGAGGAAGCTCTGGTGAGGGGTGTCCAAACAATATAACAAAAAGAGATAGAAGGGATACAGAAGAGAAAACATAACGCACATAAAAATAAAAAAAAGAGAACTAAGACTTCAAGGGAGTGGGATAAAAGACATATTAAAAAAACCATTGAAGAATGGGCTTAAAAAGACTCAAGAGATGATGGATAATGAGAAAAAAATGTTAATAGAAGGGAGGAATAGTAATAGAGTAAATATTAGCAAATATATGCAATAAGGTAGACCAGTAGATGGGAATGTGAAAGTAGGCAATTTAATAATATTATTAATTTTGATTGTAATTCAAATTAAATTGGGAATTAAAATTTTTTGTAATTTGGAATGGGGAACTTGAGAGATACTTCCGGGAATGAAGAAACGTGGTAAACAACTGTCGTAATTGTAGGAGAGGAGAAATATAGGGCGTATAGTGATGTATAATGGGAAGATTAGAATATATTGGAACTATGAATATGAATGTGATGTATACGATGTGACCTGGTCAACACTCTGTCCATAAAGTAGGTATGGTGGGAAAAAGAAAATTTTGTAATAGAACTTGTTTTTTTTTTAAAACAAGCCAAGGTGGCGCAGTGGTTAAATGCAGCACTGCAGGCTACTGCTAGATCAGCAGTTCAGCGGTTCAAATCT